AAGGCTGGTAAAAAGGCGGTTATCGTTTTGTAAAACTGATTGCTGCTTTGGATTGTTTTTATTTTGTTTGTTTGCTTTTCTCTGCTTCTTTTTGTGTTAAAATAATTTTCTCCGATTTCAGTAAAGCAAGAAATTTTAAAAGATAAATTCCAAAGGCGATTTCAAACTTGCTGACTCACAATGGTCGACTATATTTTTTTCCAGTCATGAAGTTACAACGGAATGAATGCGAAATAAATGAGTTAGCTATAGCTGATTATTTAACCATATAGAAGGCAACTCTGTACTATCAGGTTTATGACTTTCTTTCGTAGAAAACTATATTCCCTATTTAATTCTAAGGGTTTAAATTGAAATTTTCAAATATTTTAAAAATATACGAAATACTATGAATAAGCGAACACAATTGCTATATCTTCTTTTCATATGAGCCTATTTTCGTAAGAGTGCCCACAAGTTAGGTACGAGTTGTACACCAGATCCAATCACATGACTACCTTGGCACAAGCAGACCATCCTGAGAAAAAGTTTGTTGACACGCAAAACACAGGAAAGACATATAAAGATGATGACGATTCGTTAAAAAATTGATATTATCCAATGCTTTATTCATGATCACTATACCCTGATATTTTAATATTTCCTTCGTAAGTCTCACTTGCATGAACACTTAACTTCCTGACCTCACTGAATCGCGTAGCGAGCTGAACATAAACCAGCAGGAACTGAATACAGATTCTTCTGTTGACGCTGAATTATCGAATTAACGGTTATGGTCGGTCAAAAGTGAGCTCTCGAACTCTCTCCTCGCACCTCTTTTCTCCCCTCCTCACTCCAGCTCTCGAATAATAACTAGTGCGTCATCTTTTAGGAGAGGGACTTTTATTAATCAATTTTGCCTCATCACGAAATTGTTATATGGAATGAAAAAATTCTTCTACACTCTTAACAGATCTTAACGCAATTTTGGCCAAAGCTCAGCCTTTAAGAACTTAAAATGATCCGAGTTTTCTTAACACTGAACAGTCAATGTCACGGTTTGTTTATCGTGTAAAAACAAGAAGTTTAAAATGACATTCACCGAGACGGATATGACCTTTGCTCTACAGCTTCAGTGGAAAATTATCAGCAACTGACAATTTGGCAGGTTTCCGAAATAAACTCGTGATCCTAGTATCATCTAGAGAGAAAGAGTTGAAACAGCAGCTTGCAAGTTTGGCAAAAAATGACCACTCAAAAGCAGAGTTTTCCTTTCTATGCTTCCATCATTTCACTTTTGTCGATTGTGTTTTACTGTGTCGGGTTTATTACAATTGAACTGGAGTTGAACGATCACAAGAAAAGAATACACGATCTTGAAAGCGTCGCGGAGATGACATCGCCTACAAGCGAGCAACATGTTTGGATAAGCAAAGCTGTTCCTGGTAATTAGTTATCAATTTTGGACAAACTTAGCAGTACAAGTTATTACAATGATTGAATCGAACGAGCGACGCATCCATCCCCTACGGTTTACTGGATGAAACAACGTTAACTTTTTTATCAATCCCCTCTTCCAGTCTGTGACCGCGTTAGTAAACATAAATTTTAAGACTGGTCTGATATGAAAAAATTATCCTAAAGTCAATCCTCCGAGCAAAGTTTCTGGTGGACACTTTCATTTTCTAGTGGAGTTCCGGTATGCATTAACAGCATCGCTTGTATACATTGTCTGGCCTAGTGGTGATCGATTTAGTACGAGGAATGCCGAATACGATATGTTTTAAATGTTCAAAGTTTAGCTTTTCTGGCCTGGTGTCGACAAGTAAATACATATGCCGATCGATCAGTTAACTTAGCTTATGATTTGTACTCTAATGAGGAGCAATGTAAATATTTCCGTTTCAATGTCTAAAGAAAGTGCAGTTAGCCATTGGAAACCGAATACTTGAAAGCTCTTAGTGGCTGCATTAGTTTCTTTACTTCCCTAAGAGAAAAGAAAACAACCCGAACTGAGTTTGATAGGATTCTCGATTCTTGTCGAAAAGGAAAGTCAATTAATAATGATGTCGAAAAGACTTAAGAGTAATCATTGAACATTATGACTTGAGAACATTTCATTTCCTATTATAATTGATTGTTTGTAATCATTACCCGTGCGGTCAGCGGTTTCTGGTATTACGTCCTGCTCGTGTAACCCACGCGAGAAACACATGGTTTAGTGTTTTCCTTGTTCACGTTCATGGCCACCACTTGATATTGTTGTGAAACGTTTTAATCGTTTGAATACACTCTAATGGAACGGTGATCGATTGTTTGTCGTCCTTTACTATAACTCTGTCTTCGCGACAATTGATATCTTTGAACAGACAGAGAGACTGTTTCATATTCGCAGTTAGTTCAGTTTGTCAAAACTTTATTGTGGCACTCTATTGAGACATTTGAATCATTCAGGTTTTAACAATAACTGAGGCTAAAATACACCACTAGTCACCAGTGACAGCATATAGTGATTAATGGATTTTGAGCATCTTACTCAGGTTTTGATGGAATATTATGAATCTGTTAATCGGTTTGAGGACATGTTTTCCACACATGCTAGATAGTAACAAAGGAGACTGATGATATTGATTCAATGTTTTGAGGGATAGTAGGGCTTTTTCTAATCTCCGTAAACAATAAAAAAGAACAAAAAAAAAATATTCGGGATTTATATTTCCTAATAAATGTACAATCTTCTTCGTGTCTTAGGACTGAAGGACACAAATGTGATTCATAAAATTACCATGGTCCATATCTTAGACATTTTGATTCCTAAGGTTAACTGAGTGTGTGGAAACACAATACTTGTCAAAAGAAAAATAACTTTTTTGATATTTCCTGTCTCTATATACATGTACCAAAGTGATAACTGGTAAGATTTCATTTATAGCCAAAAAAATTAAATATTACATTAAAATTAGTGGGCAGCACATGAAAACAGATATTTTTAACTGTGGAACACTGTATCCCCTATTTCATATATGAAGTGCTATAAATTACTGAACTCAATTGGCATATCTTCTTTTCAAAAGGATATTTTCGTGGGAGTGCCCACAACGTTCGGTATGAGTTGTAGACCAGGTTCAATCACATGACTATCTTAGCACATGAAGACCACCCCGTAAAAAAGTTTTTTGACCCGGAAAACATACGAATGTAATATAAAGTTATATGACGGTCACAAATAAACGACTGAATAATTAAATTTTCAACGGGTCATGTACTGAAAATCTCACCTACGTCAAATAGAGTAGTTCTCCTCTTACATTTGAAGAGTGATTCCGTACTGAAAAAGGTTTTTCATATGGCTTGGGGAGGCAAAAGAACTATGGCATTTCGATTCATCATTTTACGTTTAACTTTGCTTAACTCTTCAACTCCCAAGATCTGATTGCGAATTCCTCCCCTTAAGTCCTTTAGCTGGTACTCATTTTCTTGTAAATTAGAGAAAACAGCTTCTACCTGATTAGTTTGAGTATTCTCATTACCTTTTTGCCGGATAATGTATAGATATTGTAAGGAGAAGTTAATGTTATCCACTTCTGGGAGTTAAACGGTGAAGAGACTCCTGATCACGAGGCTTTAAAAAAGTGACATCATATCCATCGTATGTCTCACCACCACATTAACAAAGTGGTCCGCCTGTGATCTCAGTGATGTTTTCGAACAATCGTCCTCATGGAATCGACGGCAAACGCCGCGCCGTGTGGACGATGATATAGAGCCAGGCTTTAAAATAACTTTCGATCGTCATCATCCACAGTTGAAAAGCAGTCTGGAACTGCTATAAATGAGTATGGAATGGATTCGATCAAGAGCTGAACAATAATTGAACAAGATGACGGATTGAAATAACTAGAGCTTTCAAGATCACAGTAAAGGGAAAAATAAACCATTTTGATGGAATGAAGGAAGAAAAACTAAAAACAAAAACAAAAAAACAGTGTGACAAAAACATCGAGGAGGATCACCAAAAGGAGGGGATTGCTTTTGTCCATTTGTTTTTATTTCAGTCCTCGCTCTGACGGAGGGCTAACGCTCGAAACGTCAACCTTTTAACTCGTTGTGGTGGCCAATTTACAATTTCAACCTAGTTGATATAACCAAATTACCTTGGTACCCCCACCGACGCAGCACCACAGTTTCTTTAGAAACTTTCAGCCTTTATTTTCAATATTGCGGTAAGAGCGACAGAAATCGGCAAATTTTGACTGAACATTCCGCAAAGGTTAGGCCGTTTCTTTTTCCTTTCACTATAGGTAAATGTAATTTGTTGTATTTTAAATGCGTAGAAGAACTTTTGTGCGTATTTGTCGCGTATTCTATCGTTCTCAAGGACAAACGTAAGCACTGTTTTTTAGCATGTAATTTGAGACCGGTTTTCGAGAAGGTCAAACTCGTTCACTCGAACACGTCAAGATGCAAATGCTCACTATTTGTTTTACAACCATTATGCAACGCAATCAGAGTGCGCATACCGCCTGAGTGTAAGTCTTGAGCTAGAGATCGGAAGCGATCGTGATCCACCCCGACTGGTCTCTGAAGTAAAAGTTCCTTTCTAGAGGTGGGAGGGGGCAAGTTGAGCAGTATTAACTACTTCCACCCTACTATGAAATTCACGGCCGAAATATCAGCGAAGCAAATCACTTTCCTCGAAATCATGGTGTTAAAAGGGAAAAGATTTCAAAATATTCCATCCTGGACATCAAAATTGACTACAAGCCGACTGAGACCTTCCAATTTACGCACTTCGCCTCGTGCCACCCATCAGGCGTAAAACATGTATGGTTTGATTAAAGGCGACGCATTGAGATTGCTTAGAACTAACTCCTCTAAAGAAACATTTGGAACAATAAGTAAAAATTCTGCAAAATTCTTGTGATTATAGATATATGACGTTTTAATAACATATGTTTGACAGACAATTTTTCCGTTGTGATAGAAATGTGAAGCTATAAATTTTACTGTCTTTTCCGTAGATATCCAGTCCCATCAAATCAACAGAAATAAGCGAAATGTCGATAATGAAACAGAAGATTTTCAAAAAGAGAAAAAAATGGCCAAAATCAGCAAACTTTTACTTCAACTCTGTCACTCAAAGGATTCCACCTGCATGTCAGGTCCACCAGGCCCTCCCGGCCCACCTGGACCCAAAGGAAATAGAGGGCGACGAGGACAGAAAGGAAAGACTGGCTATAAAGGTGATAGAGGGATTATGGGATCACCAGGAAAGAGAGGAAAGCAAGGCAGCCAAGGACCCTTGGGCTTAAAGGGAGAGACTGGAACCAAAGGACAGAAAGGAGAAAGAGGAGGGACGGGCATGACGGGATCTAAAGGGGAACCTGGTCAATCCATTTCATCTCCTATTGTTATTGCTTCTCCAGCGACTTTGACCGTTAACGAAGGTGAATCAGCCTCGTTTCAGTGTTCAGCTAGCGGGAACCCAAGGCCGGCAATTATGTGGAGCAAATTAGGCAATAAATCAGAGATTAGTAAATCAGCGGCTTCAGGGGCGAAGTTAAAGCTGCAAAACGTGACAGGAAACGATTCAAGCTTGTATCAGTGTACAGCAAAAAACATCCTAGGAAAGGATCAGGCCGCAGTGAAGTTAGAAGTCAATGGTAAGTGAATTTGATCATGGTCAAATTCATGGAACTTCAAATTCAAAATAAGCCAGAATAAAAGAAAGTCTTTGTTTACATTAGTATCAACGCTCTCGTTGTTACAGGCAAAAAGAGGCAACTTTTGACAAAAAAGAAATTACCTTTTAATCAGGGTCAGTTTAAAGAATCTCCGTTATCATTGTAAAACATTTTTCAGTTGTGACATCGTTCATGCAGCCCCTTCTTGCGTGTTTAGGTTAAAAGGGATTATGACATTACGCACCACTAGTGTTTACGCAGTTTTCAATTCTTCCGGGCTAGGAATCAATATTTTGAACTCCGCACCCTTTTGAAGATGTTTATGCGTGGGCGTTTAAGCTAAACCATCTATCTTCGACCCTCACAGCAATCGAGGGAGAATTTCTCGGCTATGGCCTTCTGCTTTGCGGAGACTTCAATCGCCTTAACGTCAAACGCATCTTGACTCAGTTTCGATTAAAATAGCTGGTGAACAAACCAACACGATTGGTTCACCTACCTGTACGACAAGAACTCTGTACAGATCTTGCCGCCTTTCGGACTCTCCGACCACAATGTTGTCATATTGCGCCCTAAAACGAGACCTATGTGATTGGGCTCTTTGAGAAAGCAGATGTTGCGCCGCTACGCACGCGCCAGCAGGAAACTCGATCTCGGTCGCTGTTTTGGCAGACTTGACTGGTCGCTTGTAGGGCACACGCGGGGTTGCGCGGCAAAACTCCAACTGTTTACGGACGTTGTCAAGACTGGATTGGACTTTACCGTGCCCGTCGAAAAATCCAGGATCCACGTAAGGGACGCGCCCAGGGTTTCTCCAGAGTTTAAAGAGCTAGTCAAGGTGTGGCAAAAGGCGTTCAGTGATGGAGATGTCAGTCTTTTCCGTTATTATCGAAATGCAGTGAACCGAGAACGTGAGACACTCCGTGGAAGATTTTACGCTTCAAAAGTTAACCAGCTAAAGCATACCAAACCTAGCCAGTGGTGGAACTCCGTCAAGCGAATTGCGGGAATGACTCCTGCAGCTGATACCGACATCGTTATTTCATTCTTACAAATTGAAGGCACTGAAGGCCTCTCTGAACACAACATCGCAAGATCAACGCTGCCTTTGTTGAGCCTCTGGAGTCCTTTCGGAGGTTGGAGTTTGTTCCTACTCCCGAGGCGGAATCCACGCTGTTTACTATTCCTGAGTCTGCCGCCTTTTCGACGCTTCTAAAGTTGAAGCCCCGTAACGCGGCTGGACCGGATGAGATACCCTGAATTAGCTCCTTAAGGAGTATGCTGACTTCCTTGCTTATCCCGTGTCTTCGATCATTAACTGCAGTTTTGCCGAGAACAGACTCCCACCAGCATGGAAGATGGCTAATGTTGTCCCAATACCAAAGGTGAAACCTGTTGAGGGTATCAGTAAACATCCTCGCCCTATCTCCCTCACTTCGGGGATTTCGTGGTTGGTTCTCATATTGGCCCTGCTGTGATGGAGGTTATTGACCCCGACCAGTACGGAGGAATTCCAAAATGGTTCACTCTTCGTGCCCTAATATCCATGGTGCACAACTGGTCCACTGCGACTGACGGTAGTGGGGCTGCCGTGCGAGTTGTCCCCTTTGATTATAGGAAGGCGTTCGACTTTATTGACCATACCCTACTTGTGCGAAAGGTCTTCAGGCTATCTATTCCCAAGAGTGTGGCCCGCTGGGTTGCTGACTTTCTTACAGATCGCCGGCAACGTGTCAAGCTGTCCAGGGACTGTTTCTCGGAATGGGGTCCTGTCCCTGCTGGCGTCCCGCAGGGCACTAAACTGGGCCCTTGGTTATTTATCCTAATGATAAATGAC